CTCAATTAAGATCCCACACCTGTCCCCTCATCTCCCTATCCCTGCTCCCTACTTAAGGCTTTCCATCCCTAGTATATTCACCCCATGCCCTGTCCACTCACGTGTTGTATCATAAAGAATCATTTTTCCCCTCATGGGCTCCTTTCTAGTGTCCGAGACTTTGCGTGTGCATGCACATGTGCTTGTGCATGTGTTATCCAAATATATTATGTATTTGTATGAAAATATCATTGAAACCCATTATTATGTTTCATTAATATATGCTAATTTGGAAACATTAAAAAAAATCATCGTAGCAGGGCTCCTTTGAAATTCTCCTTTGCTCCCTCTGTCCCAGCTGACTTCACTTTGCTCTTCCAGACTATTCTCTCAAGATCCCTTTCTGCCTCCAAATTCCAGGCACACTGAGCCCGGTAGGCTTATACTCTATATGAAAGGAACTTAGGCTGCCCTCCTCTACAGGAACAATCATCTCATGAAGGGCACTGAGCTGTCCTTTCAGGCAACAGTGCCAGCAGGACCTAGCAGAACCAGATGATGACCTACCAGACCAGGTTTGGGAGATACTATTTGACTATGCAAGTCTTCCCCACTGTGTCCTTCCCCTATATCAACCTAGAGCTCTGGTAGTATCCTGAAGACAGGGTAGAATGCTGATCCCCATGTTCCTTACTAACGTGGTCACACCAAATAAAAATTCCTCTCTGCCTGCTCTCCAAGCAGTAGCTGGTTAATTCTGGTTACGGGAATCTCCTCTGGTCTAAGACTCTGGTATCAATCTTTCCATTAAATTTTCTGAAAGTTAAATGGGCTTTCTTCTATGGCCTGGAAAGGGTTCAAGGAAAAGGTGGATTCACTATGATTTCAGGACTATTACTAGTATAGGGCACACTGTATGGATGACTTGTAAAACTCCTTTCAATGCTAACATTTTATTAACGAAGAGTAAGGAACAGACATTGCCTTACTTAACTTAAAAAGATCAATTAAAAGAATTTTAGTTTTAGTCAAAAAGACAAAAATTCAGTTACAGATTTTACCATCAAGCATTGTGTGCCATAGCAACAACAGTATTCAACTAACTCTCTGCTCCAAGAGTTTTAAACTTTAAATATGTAACATGATACTTTGATAAAACTTGTTGCAAAAATTTCTCTCTCTGCCTATCATTTAGTAGGTGTTCCATACAAAGTTTGTATTATCCACTTATTCAATAATACCATTCCCCCGGTGTGTGATGTTACCGACATCACTTATTAATGCACTTAAACAATGACTTGTTCTCTGCCATGCCTTTTGGTTTTCAGCCCCATGCAATTCATGCTTCACCTCTGTGCAATGACTATTTGTACCTAAGTATGGCATTTTCTTTAGTTTTCTTTTGGTGGTTTCTTTTATGCCTCTGTTTGACAAACAATCTTCATACATTCTGGTAATGTTACTCTGGCTATTTAAAAAAAAATGCTATTGCACAATCCTTTCAACCAGATGGATAATATATCCAGTTTAATAAACCACAGATGTTTTCTTATTCTTTTTTATACCACAAAATGGCGAACTCATTTCTGAACACATCCCTTATAAATATTTGAATAAATAAATCATTTTACCAAGGGTAGTTATTATTAAAAATCTTCATTGTTAATGAAAGTTAAATGGGAAAAGACGGCTGAGGCTTCTCTCTCCCTATGCATAAACCTGTTTTTTTGGTAAAGGCGATCAATATTTGATGCTTTAATCATTGTCTACTCATCAAACATTGGTGGTATATAGCGAAGTTTTCGTTGTACAAATGGCAATTGTATAGGTATCTCACAACTTAATTTAATCTTATCAGATTGTTGTGGAATAGAATTTCATTCAAAGAAACTATATAGAGCCTGGGGAGATGGCTTGCCTAGTTACAGAGCTTGTTGAGCAAGAAAGGGAACCAGAGTTCAGAACCCAGGTAAATGCTGGGTGGCCTGCTTGTAATTCCCAGTCTAGGAAGACAGATGGGATCCCTAGAGCAAGCTGGCTAGGGAGACTAGCCTTACCTGCAAGTTCTGGGTTCAGCTGGAGACCCTGTCTCAGAAAGAGCAAGGTGGAAGAACAGCTGTGGAAGACTCTTGACATTAACCTCAGGCCTCCACATGGATGGATACACATGTGCAACGTGTATACATGCCCATGTGTACCAAATACATACCCAAAGAGGAGGAGGAAGAGAGAGAGGAGTCAACAACCACCTCATATGGGCAAGAAGCCTAAACAAACAGCTTTTATTACCAGTGGTGTACTATCTCACTACCAGCAGGTGCAATAATAAAACTGTTGTGATTTTGCTCCCCCCCTCCAAACAAGGAAGTGACACTTGGACCAAATGAAACAAATCACTAAGCAAAGAATTTTAAAATCCATACCACCATGCAAAACTGATACTGTTCATGACGTAGATTTCATTAATCTAATGCTAAAATAGGAAACATGCAACTTATTTCATACAAAGTAATTTTAAGATACCATGAAATTTATCAGTAAAATACATTTAATATGTGAGTGAATAAAAGTCACATATGAAATTTAATTACAGGTTTTTGTAAGTTGGCTGAAAGCTAATAAATCCTAAAGAAAGTGTCTATTAAAATATTGTGAAATTAGGAGCTGGAGAGAGAGCTCAGCAGTTAAGAGCACTGGTTGCTCTTGCAGAGGACTGGAATTCGGTTCCTACATCCACATGGTGGCTAAAAACCATCCACACCACCAGTCCCAGGGCATCCAACATCCTCTTCTGACCTCTTTAGGCATTGCACAACATGGGTGCACTTACATACATGCAGGCAATACATTCATACACATAAAATTAAAAATAATATTTCTTTAAAAGAGTGAAATCAAAGAACTAATGTTATATGGTAATGATAAAATCCATTAAAAATAAAATGTTTCTCAGAAAGGTAAGTTCTAGTTTAAGTTGAAAACAATGTAATTCACTAATTAATGAAAGCAAACACTTTGTTATGTGTACGTTTTATTTTAAACAAAGGCTATAGAATTGATCATACTAGAAAATATTACTGAATTTTAACAAATATTAAAATTTGGTTATTAATAAGGAGGGAACCATTCTGTTTTTATGAAAAGCAAATGTTAAGATATCTTTCCTTAGTCTCTAAAACTCAAGTTCCATTTCAGTCTAGGTAATAATTTTATGTCACCCACAGAAAAACTAAATTAATAAATCTCTAAGACTGGAGTTAACTGATACAGGCAACTCAAGCAGGGAGAGAGGCTTGCCATAAATTCATCCTCTGAAGGAGGACCCAGGTACACACACAAGAAAGATCACACTGCAGACCAGATCTTGGTTTTATATGACTCTGCCTTCTGTTAGTTTGCCTTAGGCAGACAAGCTCACCAACTTTACCAGTTTTAGGGCCTTCTTACTTTGTGTCAAGTCCACTTAAGACTCCTGTTGTAGAACACCGCATTTTTATAGTATTTTCAAAGTCAGGAAGAACTTTAAAAGCAGGCCTGCTTTCATTTCTTTTTAAAACAATGGCAGCAATACACAGACCAGTTTGCACCTTGCTATGTATCAGCACACAGGCTTTCCAGTGCTGAATTCCTAGGTCTTTGAAGCCAAAGTATGCAGGGCTATAACCAGGAAGATCCAGATTTCCAATGTTAACTCTCTGCTCCTGCATCCTTCCTCCACCTGCTCCTCCCCATTCATCCCAGTTCATTCTATCTTCTGCTGAAAGGCTGCCAAACGGACTGCAAGACTTGTAAGCTTAAGATTCAAATTGTTTTCAAGGCTGTATTTTCAACTAAATGCTTCAACAAATTCCTTTCAAATAGTTGAATCTTCATTAAGAGAATACAAAAAGCAATTTCAGAAACCAAAATCTATCAGGACTGTTTTTTGATTGCTGAAAATGTATTCCCGAGGGAACATGAACGCATTTACCCACCCAGTGGAAAAAATAATTCTGCTGGTTCATTTCCCTGTTAAACAACAGCTTGGTTGTTGGGCCCTGCCTAGCCCGGTCTCATTGTCAACCTAGTAATTTTGTATTGATCACCTTGGCGGACTCGGTCTCCAGCAGGTATAGCCTGTCTTTCTATTCTTGAAATAATAATAGTAAAACTCTACTCATGATCAGAAAATAGGGGTCATACGACTTAACCACAATTCCCTGTCTTCCTGTCATGCAGCTGCGTGACAAAACACTTTGACCACTACCAACTTGGGGAGGAAAGTTTATTTATCTTACATCTCTCGGGTCACAGTTCATCAGGTAGCCCAAGGTAGGAACACAGGGCAGGAACCTGGAAGCAGGAGTTGGAGCACAGGCCATGGAGGAACATTGCTTACTGGCTTGCTCCCTGGCCCATGCTCAGCCTGCCTTTTTTTTTTTTTTTTTTTTTTTTTTTTTTTTTTGTCCCCCATTGCATAAAACGGAAGAGAACCGTACTCAAACCCTACGTTTCAATCTTAGGACAATGAAGCCCACAGGAAGCCACTCTCCTCTCCCGGATTTACTATGGGGCGAGAGCCTGCGTGGGGTGCTGTCGCCTGGCAAGGTGCGTGACAACACGTCTTCCATGCACGCCCTCCCGACGCGTCCAAGAAGACTCGCCGTCTGATTTCCCCGCTTCCCAAAAATCCGCCTCACACCCAGAAACTGAGCATACAAAAGGGATGGGCGCCCGGTCAGACTCCGACCCCGCCGCCTCGCATCGATATTCCGCCCGCAGCACGCGGCACAAAGCCGGGAGGGACCGCAGAGAACCCGACAAGCCGAGGGGCCGCGGGCCGGGTCGCAGGATAGCGGGCGGCGGCCGGTGGGGGATGGGAGGCCGGCCGGCCCAGCCCAGCGGGGGCGGCGATCGCGCGGGGCATCCGGGCAGCGCCCCTCGGCCTCGGGCCCACACTCCGCCCAGCAGCCCGCGCCCGGGAGGACGACGACGTGTGGAACCCGCAGCGTGGCCCGAGCCGACCCCGGCGCATCACTTACCCCTCGCGGTGGAGAGGGACCGGACCCGGAGGCGGGGCGCGGCGCAGGCGTCTCTGGCACGCTGGCCTCTCCCAACCCAGTCGTCGTCTATCGTCGTTGACTTCGCGGTCGAGCTCCTGGGCCCCTCGGTTCCGCTGGGTAATAACGTTATTCTACACACGCCCCACACATAGCGGGAACGGCAGCGAGCGGACGCTCAGTGCGCAGGCGCCTCGCAAAGGGCGAGGAGCCAGGCCCTTTTCCTCCTCCTTCTCCGGCCTAGCGATGTGTCACTGCGCAGGCGCCAGACCCAGACAATGAAAGGGGGCTTTGAGGAGGGTCTGACCCACACTCTCGCGGCGACCCACTGCGCAGGCGTGCCCTCCAGACCTACCCCCTCCCCCGCTGGAACAATGAAAAGCAGCTTGGCTGGAGCGGTCCGCAACCAACCCGGACTACGATTCCCAGCGGGCAGCGCTCCAACTCCACGCGGGGGTCGGGGTGCCGGACATGCTAGGAGTTGTAGTGTCGGCCCGCCTTCAGTCTGGCTGGAAGGTTTACAGCTTCATTTTCTTGAGGAAAAAAAAATTGGGGGTGTTTTGAAAGAAATCCTGACTAAAACAGGGTGTACAATGCACCGTTGAGCGGGCTCAGGGATCAGCTTCGTCAGGGAGCATTTTGAGGACTCCAGGCTTCCGCCGGTGGTCCAGGCGGCTGGAGGAAGGCAGGGAGGCGGGACGGGCCTGCCAGCCCGTCTCTTGGCAACGGACTCAGGCCGCTAAATCGCCAGACTGGCGCCCTGAGCGCACAGCCCTCTGGGAATGGTAGTGTAGGTGGAAGGCCCATAGGACTCTCGAGGCTGCAGGCTCTGAGCTTGCGAACTACAACTCCCGACGTCCACCATGAGGACAAGGGTTCAGGAAGAGCCCTCTGGAGTTCGGTCAGGGGTTCCCAGCTCCCTAGTGACTGCAGCGCCGGGAAGCTAGGAAGCATTCCCCCCCCCCCCCCCGCCCCCGCTAGGCCTGTCATTGGAAGGGGAGTGCACTGGACACTTTCCCGCAGAACTCCCAACTCTGAGCCAATGGCGAAGTTGCCAGGGAACTCTACCCTGGAGGAGAGTCTGGGGCAATACCAACGGAGTCTCAGGGGTGAGTTGGTCCGAATCTCAGTGCCTAGTTTCCAGGTACCCAGGGCAGTAGCGAGCGAGTGCACACTTGGTACCTTTCCTAATATCTTCATTGGGCTCCAGCCAGGCTGCAGAGGAAGAAGATGGATGTTGGCGCTAATCGTTGAGTAATCGTTGATTTTGGTTTTAGGATGAAGCAGAATTCTTTCCTCTGATTCTTAGAGTTACCTGACCCAACAAAGTACCTACATCTTGATTTGGGTATCTTTATCAACTAGTACCACCTCAAACTCTTAGACGCCTCTATGCCACATTTACCCCATTGCCGTACTTTGCTCTGCAATCCAATAAATTCTTTATTCGTTTTTTTTTAAACATGCAAATTCTGGTGTAGTGGGTTGAATGTGACCTGTAAGCAAAACACTAATAGTTATTTGAATCACTATACCTTCTGTTTACTGATCTAAGCTATTTACATCCAGCAAACCATTTAAAACTTGATCTTACAAATGTCCCTGTTCTTATGTCAGAAAATCAAATCTCAGAGAGGTTTGTTACAGAACAAAACCCACATAGTTGGTCAGTGGCAGAGGCAGGTATTGAATTCAGGCCTATCTGCCTTCAAAACCTAGGTCTTTATCAAGTAATAATTACTGTGGTTGAAATCTTAGTTAATTCAATAATTTTTTAGTAAAGTGATTATATGGAGAAGTGGTGTCCTTATTTGTAGCTCTCTCTGTCATCTTGAGAACATATGTAACTTCTGGAAATTTCAGTCTTTGTTATAGGGAAATTGTAGTATTGCCTACACCAGGGCTATTATGAGGAACAACGATACTGCATATAAAGCAGTGATTTTCAGACCTTAAAAAATTATTAAGCTATAGCAAGAAATGCATTTAAAGGACTGGGAAGGTGACTCATTAGAATGCTTGTCTGACGTGTGACGGAAAGAAAACAGCAAGCATATGCAGGACCTAGAAACTGAAAATTCCACTGAAGACTTTATTCTACTGGATGTCATGCATTTTTTTCTCTCTACTAATAATCCCTTAGGTTATGACCAGAAGTCCATAAAACCAGTTATGATTCCCAGATATCTCTTACTTTGGGTGGCCTGTGCCCTCTGTAAGAAATTGGGTAAGAGGATGTAGTGACATACATCTATAACTCTATTACCTGGGAGGTGGAGGCAGGAGGCTGAGCTCTTTGTTGCTTCTTGGTTGGCCACCATGTGAACAAGCTGCAAGCTCCTGCCATTAGAGACTGAGCCATGACTGTGTGTCACCCTGACATGCCACCCCAGCCATGATACATTTTACCCTCTGAACTGGGAGCCGAAACTCTTCAACTTGCTTCAGGGGAGTTGGTCAACAGTGATGAGAAAACTAATACCCTCTAAATTTCACTTTGGTATATTGCATTGGGGCTGTAACTGTGATAGAATACTTGCCTGAGAAGCAAAACACCGAGTTTGACCCCCAGTATTGCAGTAAATAAATAATTTCAGTACATAATTGCATAATGTCGTAAGGTATGAAATGAACTCACTTATAGCCAAGAGAGGAGAAGAAAAGTCAGGATTATAGGCAACACTAGAAAGGAGAGAAATTGCTAGGTGATGCAGTGTCTTGTTCCTAATAACAGAATCATGTCTGGCTCATTGCTGCAATGTTGGGTATGGATGCAGTTAGCAGCAGCAGCACTTTATTATGAATCACTTAGTTACATGGTTTCTAGCCACCTTTGACTGAGTGGGCATACTGTAAAAACAAGCTTCTGATCTGACAAGAACACATACTGTCTTATCTCTGTGCATCCTGTATTCAGTCCTCCCCTTTTCTTTCTACACACAGTGGACTCTAGATGGAATCTGTGGAGAACATGATGGAATCAGGAGAGAATGTGCAGCTAGAGGGCAGATCATTGCATTTCCTGTTGCTTTGCTGATGATCATCTGTGTGACTGGGGCAAGTTGGTACATTGATTTTGAATTCCCATTTTCTCATCTGTAAAATGAAAAGCTTGGGCAAGATGTAAGAATGATTGCTTTAGAAGCCAAGCAGATGTCACAGTGTGATAGCATGAGTGGAAGCCACTAGGAAAGGTGAGGCTTATGGCCAAGCCTGCACTTCATGCTTTCAGTTTCTTCCTCGTTGTCTTCCTTTTTCCTCTGTCCCTTCCTTCCTTTTCCCCAAGAAGAGAGCTAAGTAAAACAATTCTGAGAGCCTAGTTCTGTTTCCAGCAACACTCTGACCCCTGGGTTCCTGGTGCCTGTTTCTTAGCCCTGGATCAGATGAGAATGATAAAGGCTGTGTGTCTGTCTTGTGAGATTGAAAGTAAGGAACTGAGGTAGATACTGTGAAAGTGAGAAGGGGACTATGGGAAGAAAAGTAATGCTGATGAGGGCCCTTTCTTTTGTAGTTGCTGTAGTTGGAGAAGACTGGACGTAATGTTGATGTCCAGTGTTCGATTTACATGTGATTGACATGTTTTCTAGATCCTGCTAGGGAAGAGTGCACATCTGCACAAGGCTGTGTTAATCCTGCTAACCAAGAGTTCTGTTGGTGTGTTAGCCAGCAATGACATCATCAGGACCTTTGGCCCACTTAACAAGACATGTTTATCTTAAGCGAAAGTTCTTTTTCTCAGATTTACTCGTAAAACATATTTCTTCTTTAAAAAAATTTCTTCTTTTCTATTTTCCTAGATATTTTCTAGATATTTTTGTCTTTTTTGCCATGTACTATATGCATGTATATGTATGTGTGTATATATGTACATACACACACATGTACACACACTCACATGTAAACATTTTTTGATGAATTTTAATTATGAGTATTTTTTGATCATATATTCATGTTTTTAATACTTTTAGTTTTTATGGCTCTTCTTTTACTAGAATGAAAATAAAAAAGCAAAGTGTGGGACATACGCTTGTCATCTCAGTGTTTTGGGAGGCTTAGGCCAAAGGATTGCTAGTTCAAAGCCACTCTGGATAGTCACAAATAAAAACCAGTAGAATCTCAATTTTCTTTTCCCACTACTAATGAGGTAAAATAAACGAAAAACGTGATTTACCAATAGCCAGAAAAGAATGTTTCACTGTAGTCATTTCTGGACTAATTTAGAACCAAACCTATGGTTCTGAACATGAACATTGTAAAGGCACTTTCTTGTGTTCTTGGACAGAAAAAGACAAGGTACTGGGATAATGACAAACCCTGTTCTCCCTTGGAATGTTTAAAGACTTCTGCTTCAGTGACATTGCCAGCACATGGCGGAGTTTTCACATTTTTAGTTTGCATAGTCCATGGTAAAGAAAGGAGCTTGAAAAATGCACTTGTATACTTATCAAGCAACCTTGAGCATGATGGAACTTCGAGCACACTGCAGACTTGTAGGAATAGTCTTAGGGCAGAATACTACATGTTTTAGGCCTTGAAATTAAGCTAAAAGGAAATTTTGATCTCTCTATTATGATAGTTAATATAGTTTCCCATCCTGATAGTGATGGACTTGGGTTACCTGCTGCCTACTATCTCTACTAGCAGAAGAGCTCCCTGACCTGCCAGGTTTTCATTAGAAGCCTGCCGCTGTTATCGTAATGTGGTAAGGTGAAAGATGAACAGTAGCTGCCTTGTTTTACTGATCTCCATCAGTGATTCTCAACCAGGGGTGATTTTTCTGCCTAGAAAATGTTTAGCAATATTTACAGACATACTTCAATGTTACAACTGGAGGTGGAGGGGAATGCGCCTGGCATCTCATGAGCAGAACCAGGGATGGTGGTAAACATGCACAAGCCAGCCCCTATGACGGGGCCAAATCACCAACAGCACTGTGTCTAGAAATTAGCCAGGATAGCAAGGCTCTGCAGAGAATCAGCCACGAGTAATGGCAGTAATGACTACAGATTGTATTAGCTGGTGATTTTTATCCCAGATCTTCTAGCAGCCCAGCTAGAATTGCTTTTTTGTTGGTGGAAGTAATGGGTACATCAGTCCTGGTGCCAAAGAAACACCAGGTGCATGCCACAGGATGGACATAGCCAGTCTCTTGGATTTGCCACCTCACATGCATCATTAATGACCTTCCAGGCACTGCTTTCTTAAGATGTTTTCTCTTGTTCAGGTTAGCTTTCATTCCTGGTTCCAACGACTTCAGCACATGTTCAGATCGTCCTCTTGGGATAGTACTTTGGTTGAGACTTTCCCATTTCTGAATAGAACTTCCCTCTAATCTCTTTCACTATTGTGATTACAGTGCACAGAGGTGGCTTTGTCTGACTTTGGATCACGGTTTGTATCTTGGTTTTGTGCCCTGTGGGTTCTCTAGGAGACCATGACAAGCATCTTCTGAACTGGACTGTGGACAGACACATGCTTCTCTTTCTTGCCATGGTTTCATTTTTCTGCCTGTCTGCCTAGTCTAAGCTTGTGTCAGGAAGCAGGGCATCTCATATCTTGGCCTAGGGAATGGTTCATTGCTTATTTTCTCAGAGACAGCTGGGCACTTTTCAGGATGCACTCCCTCCCTGACTCTACAGCAGGTCTCTCTTTACATCTCCTAGACAGATGGAGAATTTAGAGATTACTAGTAGATGAGATGTGTGTAGGTGGTGGTCCTACACTGGAGGGATATTCGCATTTTGGTCCAAAGCATGTTGATGCCACCTCTGGCTAAGGTACCCCCAGCAACTCCTGTCTGCAGATGGGGGTCATTCTTCAGTGATGTTGCCTCTGGTAAGCTGACCATGCTCTCTAGTAAGTAGCTCTACAGTGGTGCTTATGCAGGCAACCCTAATGAAACTCAGTGGTTCATCAAACAACAACAAAGGAAACTGATTTAAGTAGGAGAAGACTTGTTCGGAAGAAGGAAGGGGTTCAGAGGGTGTGGTAGGGGATGAGAGAGGGTAGTGCGGGGCAAATATTATCAAAATACGTTATATACATGTATGAAAGTGTCAAAAAGCAAGCTTTAAAACATTATTTAGAAACGTGGAGGAGGCCAGGTATAGTGGCACATGCCTTTAATCCCAGCACTTGAGGCAGAGGCAGACAGATCTCTGTGAGATCGAAGCCAGCCTGGTCTACATAGGGAGGTCCAGGCTAGCCAGGGCTACAAGCAAACCCTGCCTCAAACAAACAAAACAACCCCCCCACCAAAAAAAAAAAAAAAAGCATGCCGATGAAAAGAAGCTCGGGTGAGCTGGGAGTTGTAACATAGGGAGCAGGGGACCTCAGCTGAGAAAGGGGGACCTCAGCTGAGAAAGCGGACCTTGGCTGAGAAGGTAGATAAGCTTTGTCTGCAGCCTTGGCTCACGACCCTTTTAAGTGCTCATTGCACTGCATGCTGTCTGGATAATGGACTACAGAAATCCTGTTCTCTTGCATTTATGTCCATGTGATCTGTAGGACTCAGAGGTCCTGTTTGCATTTCTGTTCAGAATGAAGTTTATGTACAGCCTGCGGTTGGAGCTGGGGAGAAGAAATCAGGATGTATTCTGAAATGTGCCACTGTGCTCTCAGGAGAAAAGAGGAAATGGATATTCTTCCTGGCTTGTGGGTAGATAAAACTGAGCAGCAGGATAGGAATGATAACTGGCCCTCCAGTCTAATCTGGCTTCCTTGAGTGTGAGGCAGCAGATCACTGAGTCTCATCAGTGGTGTTCTCCGGAAGGATGGGGTGGGGTTGGGGGGGCAGCTGCAGTGGCTCCAGTTAAAAAGAAATGAGATTCCATCTGTCTTGAATCATCTGAGTTAACGTTACTCCTCAGGATTAAGTCCATTTGTCATATTGGATAAGTATGTTGCTGCCCATATTTGAAAAATGCTTAGTGCGTTTTGAAATGTATTGAAATGATTTAAGATGTCATTTGCCTCCTCGACCTTAGTTTTATGATACAGTTTGTGCAGAAATTCCTTCTTTGACTCCCACAACCGAGTCAGTCGTTGCAAAATGAAACAAAATTCACTTTTGGGGAGGATTTTTAAGTTCAGTGCCTTGTTATTTCACATAATATTATTTTTTTGGTACAAATTAGTATGTGATTTTGTTATGCATTCTGAAAGGTTAAATAAGAATTGTTAGAAACTGGATTTAAAGGGCTATTGCCAGTCCGTGTTAAGTCTGGGGGTATAGCTCAGTAGTAGAATCCTTGGCCAACATTCCCTAAGGCCTAGGGTTCAATCCCAACACCACACACAAAAAAAGAAATAAAATTAATAAATAAAATAAAGCAGAGACACTGTCATCCTAATCTCACGAAAGAACTGTACCTAGAGGGACTTCCAACTGTGCATTTTTTATGTAAGATTTTTTCCCTAATATAAGTTATTAGCTTTTAGTTACAGTAGGCATAAATAAATAATTATCCTTTGTCCTGGAAGCAGAGTAATTTGATAGCTCCATGGAGCATACTTTTAATGTTAGTCAAACGCTCTGTTTCCTTTCTAATGCATGCTGTAAAGACAAGTGTTTTATTCATAGATTTAAGGAAATGAATCTAAAGCTCTGTGAACTACATTGCAGATCATATAACACTTTGATTTCCCTTTTGCCATTGACAAAGTCTTTTTAGAAAATCCTGAGTTTTTAAGAAACCGTGGCTGCTCCTTCTATTGCTAAAACCAGGCATGCGTCTAATCTGGACTTTCTTAAACCCAGAATGAGTAAGAGGGGGCCAGGCGTGGTGAGTAATCAACACTAGGTTTGTGTCAGTGAAAGGTCTGTGTGGAAATAGGATTGGTATGGAGAAAAAGGCCCTGATGAGTTCCCTGTGTAGACAAATAATAGGATTCTATTGTTTAGCTCAGACTTGAAAGACCTGCTCTCTTTAGTTTTACCACTGTATAAAGTGAGTTTCTGTAACTAAAGAAACTATATTACATATTCTGGAACATGGAACATGGAACATTTTTCCTGTTAAGTAATACAGCTCATGTGTTTGGTTCTAAACTTTGAAATTAGTGACAGTGAAGAAAATGCAATCCTTTTAGCAAGGCCTGCAGAATATACATTCATAAATGTATTTTCATAGATGACTGGTATTGAGTTAGGCTTTAAAAAAATCGTGTGTGTGTTGTGTATGAGAGTGTGTGCATGTGTGTGTGTGTGTGTGTGCATATGTATGTATGTGGTGGGTTATATGTACTTGTTAGTATGGGTGTGTGCATGTGTGTGTATGCATGTGTGCCTGCGTGTCTGTGTGTATGCATATACAGGCAAGAGGCCAACATCCAATGTCTTTTTATTTATTTTAATTATTTATTTATATGAGTTTATTGCATGCATGTACTTAAGTACACACATGTTGTGCAGTGCCCACAGAGGTCAGAAAATGGTGTCAGATCCCCTGGAACTGGAGTTATGGACAGTTGTTAGCCACTATGTGGGTTTTGGGAGCTGAACCTGGGTCCTCTGCAAGAGCAGCCAGTGATCTTAACTGCTGAACCAGCTCTCTAGCCCCAGTATCCAATATCTTGCTTTGATTGCTGTCTACCTTTATTTTTCAAGACAGTACCTGAAGCTCATACATTCAACTGGACTGGCTGACCAATGAGCTTCAGTGATACATCTGCCATTGCCCGCCATCCAAGGCTGGGGTTACGCATGTGCAGCTCCACGTGCAGCTTTCTACATAGGTGCTGAGGAGCTGAACTCAGGTCCTCATGTTTGCACAGCAAGCAATTTACCAACTGAGCCATCTCCCTGTCCCCGAATTAGGTTGTTTTCAAGGCATTTCAGTTAAATGATCTCCAGTGTGGAGTCTTCACAGGCTCCATTGGGCTGTGGGATGGAAGATGGGTACCTTGGAGCTTCTTTCCTTCATGTAGTCTCTGGGCCTGTGCCCTCCCCATGGCTTCTTTACAGGTCTCCAGCAGGAGACCCGGCTTCAAAAGTAAGCAGTCCAAGACAGCAAGCAAGTTTCCAACCTTTCTAAATATGAGGTGTGACTGTCAGTGTTGCCTTTCTCTTAATGTAAATTACAGGCCTACTCATTTTCAAACTGGGACAAGAGACTGGATCCTGGGGCTTATTTTTAGAGATGAACTATCATAACAATGTATCTTAAAGTATTTCTTTAGTGACAGTTTATGTTATATGTGTGCTGGTTAGTTTCAGCTTCAGTTCTATGTGTGGTCACTTGCACTCTCCAAGTAGCTGCACATGAAATGTAGTCAGCCAGCAGTCTGAGGGACTGCCACCATGAGCGTTAGGCTGTCTTAGTAATCTGTCGTAGGCCAGGTGCTCTGATTTCTTTTGGTGGGGCATGACTGAGGTTCTCGAGAATAAGGCTTTCTGGGCCAGAGCCTGAGGTGATTGAGTCCCCTGTATGGGCCTGTCCACTTACTTCATGTCTCCAGGTGGGGTAGGTGAGCCTTGAACACTGAGAGGAAGGAGGAAAAGTCCCCAGCAGAGTTCTTATCTGGGCACAGGCATCTCTGTCATTCAGTTCTTGTTGCCGGTGCTGCCACGTGCACCGAGTATTAACAGTGGCAGGGACAGGACTCTTAGGGATGGCCAAGTCTAACCTCTAGTCCATGCACTTAGTCTGCTCCTTAGCTAGCTAGAAGCCAAACTCTGCATCCATGGACTTAGTCTGCTCTTACCTCCTCTGGGATGTTCCTTAGCTAGCTGGAAACCAATCTCTGCTTTTCCAGAAAGCACCCCAAAACAATTGTCCTTGTGAGGGCTACCTTCTTGGCCAAGTGTCCTGGCAGTTGCCACAGTTTTATTGGCCTTGACTTTCATCAGGTTTTTTTTTAGAACGTGCCAATAGAAGCCTTCACCAACTGAAATGCGCCCTGAGAGAAGGCAATGTCACTGTGGAAGAAGATGCACTGAATCCTTCCATCAGCGCCACCATCAACAATGAGGACTCAGGGATGGCTTGGCATGAACTGCAGCACAGCCATGCTGGTAAGTACCAGTGTTGGTCCGAGCATGAATGGCACATAGTGGAGTCATAGAAGAATGGCTGCAGTCAGTCCCCACTGTGCTGCTAAGATGCTGTTCTTGAAACACAAATGAGCTAATATACTTCCTTCACTGAACTTTTTTTTTATTTTGATTTCCAAAAACCTATAGGCTTAAGTCAAAATTCTTCAGAACTTTTACAACAATATTTTATTATGTATGCATTTATATTTATATACATTTATACAAAAGACAACACTATTTTTCTGACACAGGTGAAACCTACCTTTCTGGTCTGATCTTTGTTGGTGCTATTGTCTTCTTACAAGCTTCTCATCTTAGCCACCTGTCTTAGAAAGCATCCGTCTCTGGCCACCCTCCTGACCATGCTTCTGTACTTTTACACCTACAGTGCCTCCTGACTGAAACTTTTTACACCTTCACACCCTTTGCTGCCCACTGAGCCCTGTTCATCCATTCTGCCACACTTTGTTAGCTCCTATGTGAAAACTATGTGTTTCCTTTCCTTTAGCCTTGTATACAGCTCTGAGTTCACAGAAAAAAAAAAAATGCCTGCTAGTGTATCTCCTTTGCTCATTGAAATCTTACTTAAGGGGTAGAGATTTTTATTTGTATCCTAACTAATAGGAGTTTAAGCAATGTTTACTGAATAGATGTTTGGTAATACAATGTTAGTCAACTTTCATCACTGTAACAAGTATCTGAGGTTAAAAAACTAAAAGGAATAATTTTTTTTCTGGGTCTCACTATGAATCCCTGGCTGGCCAGAAACTCACTGTGTAGACCAGATGGGCCTTGAACTTAAGGTGATCCTTTTGTCTGTGTCCCCCAAGTGATGAGATTGTAGGCCTCTGCCACCTTGCCTTAAAGCTTTGTTCTTGCTTGTGGTTTGGATGTTTCAATCCATTATTGATTGACCTTGTTGCTTTGGGCGTGTGCCAGGGCAGTATATCCTGGCAGGAACATGCACGTAAGCAAAACTACTCACTTTATGTCAGGAAGAAGAGGCCGGGGTCCCATTGTCCTCTTCAAGGGCACATCCCCATGACATGAGTGAAGACTTCCCACTAAACCCCATCTCTTAGAATTTCTTTTATCGTCCCTTAATGCAAAGCGACAGACATGGCCTTTAATGAATGATGTTTGGGGGACATTTATGATATAAACTGAATGTAACCCATGAATCCAATAAATTCATTACTTTTGTTCTGTAGTCAATCTGCTCAAAGCTTTGTTGCACCAACAAACAAGTAAGGAAAATGAGACATCTCCACCACGAAGACGAAAAATGTCCCCTTCGGTGAGTTGCAACTCTTGCAGCTTGACAGAAACATTCATTTTCCAACTTTGTTTTCTTTTCAAGTGTCCTATTATGCATGTCACAGACATTCTAGGACACAGGAATAGTGTGAGCATTGGAAGAAATTCCATTCTCTCTGATTGTTTTGGCTGAAGGAATCTCGATACTCTTATTATTTGGTTCAAAAATGTGAGCAAGAGAACAGTTCTGAAAAATGTTTTATAACTGCAGATACACAAAAGGGGCAGTGAATGCAAAGGCATAATGTTTTAGAAGTTCATGTCTGTAGTCAATCATTTTCAGGAGTTACTAATTGTGATGTTAGCCCCCTTTGTAATTCTCTTTTATTAAGAATCCAAAGCTTGAAGTTTGTTATTGTACGTGTTAAAATAAGTGGTTATAATTTAGTGAGAAATTATGCTGTATTTCTTTGAAGTTGATTTTTGTTGCTTTGGTACAGTAGTATTCCTATCTGAGGCTTTTTCTGTACTAAGAACTGAGCTGGGTGTGAGAGAATGAACTCTGAACTAGGTCAAAATCACAGTCTAGGCCGTGCGCCTAGCTGAAGTCTGCACAGGGTCTCTCACAAACTTGCTTGTATGTGTATGTCATGGTCTTTTTGCAATAATGCGATAATATTTTATGCTTAGAGTTCTTTAGACACCTTTGAAGATGACATAGCTATAGACCATGTCAGAGCAATGATAAGCAGCTTATATCGTCAGTGCATGTGACAGGTGAACATAAAATCTGCATGCTGGAATCTAGAAATGTGGCTTTCCTTCTCTCACAGAACTCCATAATGGTACCTCATGTTAGCACTCTAGCCTGACACACACCCTTATGCTCAGTTCTTTCTTTAGAGAAAAATACTTCACATAATCATTATTTATAGATATTGAATTATAATTTTAGTAAGACATTTTATCCCTGAGTGCATTTATTACTGTTGACATCTGGTTTCTAGAATGATTTTAAACACATAAGGGGAATGGAGTACTTTTAGGTCAGCTAAAGTTGCTGGAGCTGTTGTTGGTTCAGATACGTTTGTTGTCTTCTGAAATAAAGAGCAGTGGCATTACGGAGTGTATTGAGTTTGGGTAGGCAGGAAAATCTGGATTCCATCCTTACACTGTGGGAAAAATAAATGACATTTAAAAGCTTACGTTGTTTGATTTTGAATTTCTTAAATACACCAGAAGGTGAAGTCCTTTTCGATTATCCTGCCATGAGAACTGATATTTCATTATTGTATAGAATTTCTGTTGGACGTAGAAACAGAACGACTGAGCAACAGAAGCCGCCCCTTCTCAAGCTCCAGTCAGGGTGCCTGGTTGACTTTCATTTCCCTTCTCCTGACTTCTTCCTTTAAAAAGAAATCACAGACTCACGTGTGATTTCCATATTTCACATTCATTTTCAGGTAAAGTCACATATGCATTCCAAGTTAGCTCTAGGAATTCTGAATAGCATAGAGCTAAGTGGCAGGAGAACTTTTTCTGAAATCTCTTCTTTGGGATCCTTAGGGCAGCTGATCTTTAGTTTGTGTGCCTCTGTTTTAGGGCTTAGTCTTAGAGGTTTTGTGCTCCAGAACAGCATAGTTTTGAGTTTCCTGGATCAAGACCCTTGTCTAGTTCAAGACCCTCCAAAAGAAATGACAAAACCCCAAACCCCTAGTTTTTCTAATGCACCCTTTCTGAGATGGAGTTTTGCTCCACTGACAACACATTCAACTCCAAGTCCTTGGTTTCAGGAGCACACCTCCTCCATGGCAGCATTCCAAATGTTCCTTCAATCTCAGAATTACTGAATGGGGTATCATACTGTTAGATGGCTGAACAGCAGGCCATTCCAAGCCAGTTACTTTACCCTGGAATCTTTCCATCTGTCGTGTGCTTTTTATAACTGTTTTCACTCTCTATCTTTAAAAGTAATATGCATATCCTTGAATATCCTTGTGGAAATTATAGAATAGAGAAGTAAATACTATCAGGCACACCATGATCTAGTATTTGTTTATATCATATCAAGTACTAAATTGAGTATGGAGAGGGTAGTAGATGAGTCTCTGCTAAATCCAGAGCTGCTTAATTTTTCTTTTCTGCCTTAGCAGGCAGTGGAATGTGAGGAGGCTGGCGTGCCCACTGTGCACAACCTCGTTCCTGTCATTCATGAGCAGTCTAAATACATCCATCATTTGGAAGCAGAAGTCAAGTTCTGCAAGGTAAGTCTGTCATTATCAGTGAAACTTAAATAAGTTAAAATGTACATCCATGGGGGGCTGGAGAGATGGCTCAGCAGTTAAGAACAACAGTTGCTCTTGCAGAAGACCCAGGTTCGAATCCCAGCACCCACATGGCAGCTAACAACTGTCCATAACTCCAATCCCAGGGGATCCGACAGCCTCTTCTGACCTCCTCAGGCATTGCACGACACAGGTGCACTTACCTACATGCAGGCAATACACGCGTACACATAAAAGTAAAAATAAATAAAATTAAAAAAAATGTATATCCATGGGGCTGGAGAGATGACTCAGCGGTTAAGAGCACTGACTGCTCTTGCAGAGGACCCAAGTTCAATTCCTAGCACCCACATGGTGGCTAACAGCCAATCTCCAGTTTCAGGAGATCTGACGCCCTCTTCTGACCTCCGAGGGCACTGCATGACGTGGGTGCACTACACACATACAGGCAATACACTCATACACATACACATAAAAAAATTAATAAATAAAATATAAAAAAATATATTATACCTCATATCAAACCTTGCTGTTGTTAGTTATCATGTTTATTGTAATCCATCGACAATGACCATTCTTACATTACTGAAAGACTAGTGTCTGTCAGGAGCTTGTGGAGTGATATTCTTGGCCACACGCTTTCTGATGCTTAATTTCCCTGTGATCCCATTTCTGAATCTGATGATTTCATAAGGTGCCCCAAGTTTCAGAAGTGTTCTGTACAATCTTGCTCATTTTGGTCTGGATGGCCAGTGCTTGGGACTGATATGTGCCATTTGCACTAACTTCTCAGAGAAACTAAAATTCCTTATAGTTGTGGCACTAGGTTCAATTACTTGACCATATGGAATTGACAAATGTCATTAATGTCATTAGATCCTTTTGATGTTCCTAAAATGTATTAGTATCTTGGGGTCCCCTAAGGAGTTCCTGATTTTAACATAGAGTTTTCTGTTTGTTCTGGGAGTATGTCATTACTGATATACAGATTTTCAGGATTATCAGTAAAGTCAAAATAATGTCATTCCATAAAAAGATTCCTTTTTTTTTTTTTGTATTTTTGAGACAGTCTCCCTGTAGCCCCAGCTGACCTGGAACTCACTATGTAGACCAGGCTGGCCTTGAACTCACAGAGATCCACCAGGCTCTGGCTCTGCCTCCCAGGTGCTGAGATTAAAGGCACTATCAACAAGTTAAAGGTTTAATAAGTTGTGAAATTTGTGAACTGTTTTGTTTAAATTGTTTTCTTAGTTTCTAGGTTAAACAATACTGTTCAATAAGAAGTAATGAAAGTTGATTCCTTAGCAGTTTTTTTCCTTTCAATTGCCACAGTCAATTGCCCTGATTTTTATTTGTGTCTGGATTTGGGGTCATTTTAACCCTGATATTTTATTTAATGACATATCTTCGTTTTTTTTTGTTTGTTTGTTTGTTTTTAGCTCTTAGTAATCTTACATTTTATTTTAATTTTTAAATTATTTATTTAATAACCACATGATTAGAAGAAGCATTTTATTAGAGCATTAACATATTTAATAACAACTTCCAGAGCAAAGATGCATCTCTTTCAAAATTGGCTGTAAATTTTTAGGTTCACAGTTGAATTAATAGTTATATAGTATTGAACTCAGTATAAACCCTATAAGACATAAAATTGAATGAGGTTTTAACCTTTAGAAAAGGTATCCATTTTATTTTAAAATATACTGTTTCATACAGAAAAACTCATTTTAATGCAACTAACACTTAGATGTTTTCACATGCGTCTCTAATCTCTATGTATCTGATTATAACTAGTCACAATCGGTTACTTTCTGAGGTCCTTGGCACCTGAGCATGGATGTAAAATCATCAGGTAGATTTTACTGGTAATGTGTTTCACCTCTACCAGTTAACATGAAGGAAATTTTTATGTTTCTTCCTCAAATATAACTCATTTTTTTATTTGTTGATTTTTTTGAGTGTGTATTTCACACAGAACATCCCAAACAATCTTATTCATCTATATACACACATCCCAAATGGCACCCTCCCGTAGTCTCTACCCCCACTCCCCGGAGCCCATATACTCTGTAATCCCTGTTAACTGTCCACTGTGTTGTCAGCGCCCCCAGCCATTCTCCAGTGCTTGTCCATCCACTGAATCTAGTCAGCCTATCTAGAGTTCTTCCTCATCTAGCAGCAATCAGTTGTGTTGTCAATATTCCTTTAGATAAGATTGGGGTCTGCTGTTCATTTTCCCAGTTCTATGCTGGGTTACTCTCTGGGAGTCTCTTGGGCCATCCTGGCCAACAACTCAAAGGAAGGTATCTCCTGTCTGGCATTGTTTCTTGTTATGTAGCCTTTAGCTATACACATGGACTCTTAAAGAATTATATTGATCCCTTTAATCTTTGGTTCTACTTTCCTTTTGGGTGTTTGAGACCATACAGTTGGCTTAGATAAACCAGTTTAATTTTACTCTTAAGGTCATTTGAGGATCTGTTCCTCAGGGGTCACATGGGCTGGGGAGGAGCCCCTGGCTCCTTTCTTTTACCAGTTCCGCCTATGTGAAGATAAGTCAAAGGTCCTGCTCCACTGTGGAGGGCTTCACTTGGAAGCATGGAGGAAATAGTTCCTCTGTGTTGACCCTCCTCTTTGTAGACTGGACACTGGTTTAAGTCTATCTGGTGGGGTCTCCATGGCCTCCTTGATCAAGAGGACAGGTGACACACCACAATTACAGGACATTTTGAGAGTTGCTCATAGTCTCCTGGAACTTAGTTGACCTTGGAGGGCAAGGAACAAAAACTGTCCTTTATGTCCCTCGGACCAAAAAGTATGGCCTCAAAGTGTGTCTGTTAAACATCCAAGAAGGTTAGTTCCACCAGTCTGCTACTTTTAATTACTGTGTGCCGTGTAGCTAAAACTTGGGCAAAGACCAATTTTTCTCAGATAAATCTTGCCTAGACATGTATTTCTTGATCTGGTTGGTATGTATAATTTGTCAATAGGTTGTTCGATTTATGGTTTCCTGTTTTGTTTTTTTTTTTAATTAGGCATTATTTATCTCTCACATTTTCCAACCCTTTCACCAGGGTCTTCCCATTTAAAGTGCCCCCATTTTTCCCATTTCTCCCTTAATAATACCTCACCTATGGTCTCACATCTCTTGAGCTCCTTCTTTCCCTTTATCCCCAAGTTTCCTTGTATAACCCATCCTTCCCCTGTCCCATTAAAATAACCCGATTTTTATCCATATCTCCCTTATTAACACCTGTTTTCTACTGTTCTTCTCTCTCATGCTCTTTCTTTTCCTTTACCTCCCTGGTTCCTTTTCATTATCCTGGTTCCTGTAGTTATGTCTGGATATATACTCACTTATCAGGATTTGGTGCTAGGATCCGCATATGAGGGAGAACATATGTTGCTTTTGTTTTGTTCTGAATCTGTGTTACTTCACTTAGTATAACAGTTTCTAGTTCCATCCATTTACTTTCAAATTATGTGATTTCATCTTTCTTTACTGTTGAGTCAAACTCCATCGTATAAATGAACTACATTTTCATTATCCTCTCATCAGTTGAGGGACACTTAGGTTTCTTCCATCTCTTAGCTATTGTCAAAAGAGCAGCAACAGACATGGATGTACAAATGTCTCTGCAATAGGATGAGTTCTTTGGGTATATGCCAAGGAGTGGTATAACTGGGTCAAATGGTAGGTTCATTTGTAGTTTTTTAAGAGTTCTACACACTGCTTTCCATAGAGGTTGAACAAGTTTGCAATCCACCAGCAGCAGATGAGTGTTCCCCTTTCCCCACATCCTCTCCAACATTTGGCATCATTTGTTCTCTTGATCTTATCCGGTCTGACTGGGGTAAGATGATATCTTTAAGTGGTTTTAATTTGCATTTCCCTAATTACTAATGATGTTGAACACCTTTTAATTATTTTATAATTGCTGGCATCTCATGGAATCAATGAGGATAATGCAGAGCTGAGAAAGTGTGAGACTGGATCCTCTTAAGTCAGATAAGCTATAAATCTGATGGTTTTAACAAGGGTGAAACAGAGACAAAGTAATGTTTAATAGGTTTGGAGTGATTTTAGTAAATTTGATCAGTTTTAGCTTTACAGAAAATTAAATGAAAACAGTTTCTGTGCATGCCTCAGTCACAACTGCTGTGTGGTTTTCTGGTTATTAATGTTTTGCATCAGAGTGTTGTAATCAGTGAGACAGTATTTTTACTTTTAACTCAATTCCTCAGTTTACATTAGGACTCAAGCCTTGTGTTTTATTATTTGTTTTTTGACAAATTCATCATCTCTACCATCGTAGACTCACCCTGGGCAGTTCTGATGCTATGATGTACCCTGTGCTTGAGCTGTTCAGCTCTTTTTCCTCCCAAACACCAAGGTCCTGTCCTCTGACCACCAGTCTTTTCGCCATCTTCAGAGCTGCACAGTTTGTCTTTTCAAGAATGTCCTGAAATTGGCCTCACACAACGTGTGCTATTTTCAGACTGGCTTTTTGTCATAGTCATATGACTTCAAGGATTCTCCATGTCTAGTCATGCCTTGATGGTGCCTTTCTTCCTTTTACTGTGCAAAGAACTTGTTTAACCATTTCCCTCTTGAAAGATACCATGGTTGCTCCTGATATTGGCAGTTTGAAGAAACGCAGATATAAAAATTTTAAAAATTTTTTTATTATTTTTATGTGTATGTGTGTATTGCCTGCATGTAGGTAAGTGCACCCATGTCATGCAGTGCCTACAGAGGACAGAAGATGCTGTCAGATCCTCTGGAATTGGAGTTACAGATAGTTGTCAGCTGCCATGTGGGTGCTCGGATTCGAACCTGGGTCTTCTGCAAGAACCAACCAGTGTTCTTAACTACTGAGCCATCTCTCCAGCCCCAGATACAAAATTTAACTCATTTAGGCAAAGACACAGTTGGTGAACCATATGTTACTGCTATGTTTAATTTTATAAGAAAC